GTGTTCCCCTGAGCTCTGCTCCGAGGGGGCAGCAGGATCCGACCCTCACCCGTGTTCCCCTGAGCTCTGCTCCGAGGGGGCAGCAGCAGGATCCGACCCTCACCCGTGTTCCCCTGAGCTCTGCTCCAGGGGGCAGCAGCAGGATCCGACCCTCACCCGTGTTCCCCTGAGCTCTGCTCCGAGGGGGCAGCAGCAGGATCCGACCCTCACCCGTGTTCCCCTGAGCTCTGCTCCGAGGGGGCAGCAGCAGGATCCGACCCTCACCCGTGTTCCCCTGAGCTCTGCTCCGAGGGGGCAGCAGGATCCGACCCTCACCCGTGTTCCCCTGAGCTCTGCTCCGAGGGGGCAGCAGCAGGATCCGCCCTCACCCGTGTTCCCCTGAGCTCTGCTCCGAGGGGGCAGCAGGATCCGACCCTCACCCGTGTTCCCCTGAGCTCTGCTCCGAGGGGGCAGCAGGATCCACCCTCACCCGTGCCCTGAGCTCTGCTCCGAGGGGCAGCAGGATCCGACCCTCACCCGTGTTCACCTGAGCTCTGCTCCGAGGGGCAGCAGGATCCGACCCTCACCCGTGTTCCCCTGAGCTCTGCTCCGAGGGGGCAGCAGGATCCGACCCTCACCCGTGTTCACCTGAGCTCTGCTCCGAGGGGGCAGCAGGATCCGACCCTCACCCGTGTTCCCCTGAGCTCTGCTCCGAGGGGCAGCAGAGGGGGCAGCAGGATCCGACCCTCACCCGTGTTCCCCTGAGCTCTGCTCCGAGGGCAGCAGGATCCGACCCTCACCCGTGTTCCCCTGAGCTCTGCTCCGAGGGGGCAGCAGGATCCGACCCTCACCCGTGTTCCCCTGAGCTCTGCTCCGAGGGGGCAGCAGGATCCGACCCTCACCCGTGTTCACCTGAGCTCTGCTCCGAGGGGGCAGCAGCAGGATCCGACCCTCACCCGTGTTCCCCTGAGCTCTGCTCCGAGGGGGCAGCAGGATCCGACCCTCACCCGTGTTCCCCTGAGCTCTGCTCCGAGGGGGCAGCAGGATCCGACCCTCACCCGTGTTCCCCTGAGCTCTGCTCCGAGGGGGGGCAGCAGGATCCGACCCTCACCCGTGTTCCCCTGAGCTCTGCTCCGAGGGGGGGCAGCAGCACCCGCGGGGCCCGCTCACGGCATCAGCTCCCATAGGAAGAGCTGCGAGCCCCAGAGCGGGGGCTGCAGGGGCGGGACAGGAGCCTCGGGGTGCCGGGGGAGACACAGCGGGGACGGCCCCGTGCCCAGGGATGTCCCCGTACCCAGGGATGTGCCCGTACCCAGGGATGTCCCCGTACCCGGGGATGCGCCCGTACCCAGGGATGTCCCCGTACCCAGGGATGTGCCCGTACCCAGGGATGTCCCCGTACCCGGGGATGCGCCCGTACCCAGGGATGTCCCCGTACCCAGGGATGCGCCCGTACCCAGGGATGTCCCCGTACCCAGGGATGTCCCCGTACCCAGGGATGTGCCCGTACCCAGGGATGTCCCCGTACCCAGGGATGCGCCCGTACCCAGGGATGCGCCCGTACCCAGGGATGCGCCCGTACCCAGGGATGCGCCCGTACCCAGGGATGTGCCCGTGCCCAGGGATGCGCCCGTACCCAGGGATGCGCCCGTACCCAGGGATGCGCCCGTACCCAGGGATGCGCCCGTACCCAGGGATGTCCCCGTACCCAGGGATGTCCCCGTACCCAGGGATGCGCCCGTACCCAGGGATGCCCCCGTACCCAGGGATGTCCCCGTACCCAGGGATGTCCCCGTACCCAGGGATGCGCCCGTACCCAGGGATGTCCCCGTACCCAGGGATGTCCCCGTACCCAGGGATGTCCCGTACCCAGGGATGCGCCCGTACCCAGGGATGTCCCCGTACCCAGGGATGTCCCCGTACCCAGGGATGTCCCCGTACCCAGGGATGTGCCCGTGCCCAGGGATGCGCCCGTACCCAGGGATGTGCCCGTGCCCAGGGATGTGCCCGTACCCAGGGATGTCCCCGTACCCAGGGATGCGCCCGTACCCAGGGATGTCCCCGTACCCAGGGATGCGCCCGTACCCAGGGATGTCCCCGTACCCAGGGATGTCCCCGTACCCAGGGATGCGCCCGTACCCAGGGATGCCCCCGTACCCAGGGATGTCCCCGTACCCAGGGATGCGCCCGTGCCCAGGGATGTGCCCGTACCCAGGGATGTGCCCGTGCCCAGGGATGTGCCTGTACCCAGGGATGTCCCCGTACCCAGGGATGTCCCCGTACCCAGGGATGTGCCTGTACCCAGGGATGTCCCCGTACCCAGGGATGTCCCCGTACCCAGGGATGTGCCGTACCCAGGGATGTCCCCGTACCCAGGGATGTCCCCGTACCAGGCCCCATCCCCGGGCACCAGCAGTGCTGAGAAGCCACTTCCAGCGCCGCCACCGCCCGGCTCCAGCCCCGGCCTCACCCAGCGCCCAGGGATCTGCATCCTTCATCCTGCACCCAGCCCCATCCCTCATGGTCCACATCCTGCACCCAGCCCCCGGGATCTGCATCCTTCACCCTGCCCCCAGCCCCCGGGATCTGCATCCTGCACCCAGCCCCATCCCTCACGGTCACATCCTGCACCCAGCCCCATCCCTCACGGTCACATCCTGCACCCAGCCGGGGTCCTGGCCGGGCTGTGGGCACCACACAGGGTCCAGCCGAGCTCTCAAACTCCTCAGTGCTTTATTTCAGCAGCACCCGCAGGCATGCACCGGGGGTGCACGGACCTGACCCACACAGCGGGGCCCACACCGCAGGACACGCACCAGAGCAGCCATGGGTACCGAGCACAGCACCGCAGGGCACTGCAGCCATGGGCACCAAGCACAGCACCACAGGGTACCAAGCACAGCACCGCAGGGCACTGCAGCCATGGGTACCGAGCACAGCACCGCAGGGCACTGCAGCCACGGGTACCGAGCACAGCACCGCAGGGCACTGCAGCCATGGGTACCGAGCACAGCACCGCAGGGCACTGCAGCCACGGGCACCGAGCACAGCACCGCAGGGCACTGCAGCCACGGGCACCGAGCACAGCACCGCAGGGCACTGCAGCCACGGGCACCGAGCACAGCACCGCAGGGCACTGCAGCCATGGGTACCGAGCACAGCACCGCAGGGCACTGCAGCCATGGGCACCAAGCACAGCACTGCAGGGCACTGCAGCCACGGGCACCGAGCACAGCACCGCAGGGCACTGCAGCCATGGGCACCGAGCACAGCACCGCAGGGCACTGCAGCCACGGGTACCGAGCACAGCACCGCAGGGCACTGCAGCCATGGGCACCGAGCACAGCACCGCAGGGCACTGCAGCCACGGGTACCGAGCACAGCACCGCAGGGCACTGCAGCCATGGGCACCAAGCACAGCACTGCAGGGCACTGCAGCCACGGGCACCGAGCACAGCACCGCAGGGCACTGCAGCCATGGGCACCGAGCACAGCACCGCAGGGCACTGCAGCCATGGGCACCAAGCACAGCACCGCAGGGCACTGCAGCCACGGGCACCAAGCACAGCACCGCAGGGCACTGCAGCCACGGGTACCGAGCACAGCACCGCAGGGCACTGCAGCCATGGGCACCAAGCACAGCACCGCAGGGCACTGCAGCCATGGGTACCGAGCACAGCACCGCAGGGCACTGCAGCCATGGGCACCAAGCACAGCACCGCAGGGCACTGCAGCCATGGGCACCAAGCACAGCACCGCAGGGCACTGCAGCCACGGGCACCGAGCACAGCACCGCAGGGCACTGCAGCCATGGGCTCCAAGCACAGCACCGCAGGGCACTGCAGCCATGGGTACCAAGCACAGCACTGCAGGGCACTGCAGCCACGGGCACCAAGCACAGCACCGCAGGGCACTGCACCATGGGCACGAGCAGCACCGCAGCACTGAGCCATGGCACCAAGCACAGCACCGCAGGGCACTGCAGCCATGGGTACCAAGCACAGCACCGCAGGGCACTGCAGCCATGGGTACCAGCACAGCACCGCAGGGCACTGCAGCCATGGGTACCAGCACAGCACCGCAGGGCACTGCAGCCACGGGCACCGAGCACAGCACCGCAGGGCACTGCAGCCATGGGTACCGAGCACAGCACTGCAGGGCACTGCAGCCACGGGCACCAAGCACAGCACCGCAGGGCACTGCAGCCATGGGCACCGAGCACAGCACCGCAGGGCACTGCATGCCCCATGTCCCACACTGGTGCTCCCCTGCTCCGCTCCTGTGCAGCCGTGCATGGGCCAGCACCCTCCTCCCAGCAACACCAGCACGGGATGGATGGAGAGCAGCGCCCACCACGGCTCCTGCGCTCACCCCACGCTTGGGAGGAAGCCGGGGGGCGCAGCCCCAGCATGGGGCCAGCTCTGTCCCAGCTGCACAACGGGTTCCCAACAGGTCACAGCTGGGGCTGCCCCATTCTGAGGCTGCAGCAGAGGTGCAGCGGCACCAAGGCCTTGTCCCGAGGCTGCTCTGAAGCTCCGAGGTCCGAGAAGTCACCAGCTCCTTTTGAGGGCCTCGGCCAAGGCTGGAGGAGGAGCCCTGAGCCCAGGCAGGGCCAGGCTGGTCCCCTGTGTCCCTGGGAGCAGGAGCCCGCTCTGCCCAGAGCACCCTCCAAAGACCCCCCCCAGGCTGGTCCCCTGTGTCCCTGGGAGCAGGAGCCCGCTCTGCCCACAGCATCCTCCAAAGAGCCCCCCCAGGCTGGTCCCCTGTGTCCCTGGGAGCAGGAGCCCCCTCTGCCCAGAGCATCCTCCACGGAAGCAGGGAGCAGGCTCCCACCTCCATCCCCTGCCCATCCCAGCAGGCAGCAGGGAGCCAGGACAGGGCGCCCGCAGCAAGAGCCCCCAGCTCTGCTCCAAGAGCTCCAGGCGCAGGCAGGGACCATGTGCAGACACTTGGGGGGCCCAGGACCCCACAGAATCCTTGTGGCAGCTCCACAGCAAAGGTCCTGGGGCCAGGAGGAGGGAAGGGGCTCTGCCCCCCTGCAGCCTGCTAGAAGTGCTTGTCCTCCAGCAGCGAGCTCACCACCAGCTCCTTGTTGCCGAAGTCCCAGAAGGCGGTCATGTGGAAGGCCATGTTGGAGAGCACCACCAGGTACTCCAGGAAGGCGAAGATGGTGTATACTGGGGGGAAAGAGCATGGGATGGAGGGCACCTGCGGCAGGGATGCCCTGGGTACCCAGGGCCGCTCTCCTGCCCCTTCCCCATGTGCATCCCCATACCCAGCCATGCCGGGGCCTCACCTCCGGGCCCGCAGTACCAGTTGTGGTGGAAGTAGACGCAGACGGCGAAGGCAAACGTGATGAAGGTGAAGAAGAAGAGGAGCTGCTTCCACTTGTAGGACTTGCGCTCCTGGCAGGGGGCAGGAGACAAGAGATGGGTGAGCTCCCTGCCCGGCTCCCAGGGGCTGCCCCGCATGCAGACACCCCGAGGCCTCAGTGGACACTGGAGAAGCCACCCCTGCCTCCAGAAAGCTCTGTCCTGGCCCCAGCAGGGCATGGGAAGGTACCAGGAGCTCCACAGCACAGAAGCATGGAATCACAGCCTGGTTTGGTTGGAAGGGAGCTTAAATCCCATCCATCTCCAACCCCTGCCACAGGCAAGGACCCCTTCCACTGGAGCAGCTTGCTCCAAGCCCCTGTGTCCAACCTGCCCTTGAGCACTGCCAGGGATGGGGCAGCCACAGCTTCTCTGGGCACCCTGTGCCAGCGCCTCAGCACCCTCACAGGGAAGAGCTTCATCCCAATGTCCCATCTAACTCTTCCCTCTTCCAGGTTGAAGCCATTCCTCCTCATCCCATCCCTGCATCCCTTGTCCCAAGCCCCTCTCCAGGTTCCCTGCAGCCCCTTTAGGCACTGGAGCTGCTCTCAGGTCTCCCCATAGCACAGCAGAGGGGCAGGATCCCCTCCCTGCGCTGCTGCTCACACTCTGGGGGTGCTCCCAGCACAGGGGGGGGGTTCTGGGCTCAAGCGCTCACTGAAGCTGGGTCATGGGGAGCTGCTCCTCACCAGCACCCCAAGTCCTCCTCCTCAGGCTCCATCCCTGAGTTTGGGCTGGGATCACCCCACCAGGGCAGGGCCTTGCCCTTGGCTGCCTGAGCTCCAGGAGGCTCCCATGGTGCCAGCCCGGCTCCCTGGGGATGCTGCCCGGGTGCTGGTGCCCAGGGCTCCCCCTCAGGCTCGGCCCCGCGGGTGCTGCAGGAACTCACCGGCACCGGGAGCAGGAAACCACATCAAGAGCTGCAGCTGGGGCGGGCGCTGCACCCACACTGCACAGGGCGCCTGGCACTGGGCCCCATCCTGCCCCAGCACCCCCGTACAGCACAGTGAGGGGTGCAGGGCATGGGGCTGCTGCAGAGCACCCCCATTGCACAGCAGAGCTGGGCTGGCAGAGCCTGCCCCTGCCTGCATGGGGCTCCCCAAACCCATCACCCTGTACCAGCACCCCTAAAGCTGGGGCTGTGGGCGCAGTCCCCACCCGCTCTCCCATCACCCATCATGGGTAATGGAACCCAGAGCCCTGCAGTGAGCAGGGACTCCCAGGGGCACCCGGACATGGGGATGATGCACCCGGTGTCACCATCCCAGTGCAGGGCACCAAGGGCTGGGGCAGGGGGGGTGGAACCGAGGGCTCAGGGCCATACAGGGGCTGTGCTGCTGGTCCTGCTCCGGGGTGGGAGGGGGCTTTCCCCCTCGCTGATGTTTCCACAGCCCCATCTGCTGCAGCGCTGCTGAGCAGGAGGAGGAGGAGGAGGAGGATTCCCCTCGCCCCATCACAGTTTCCATTGCCCCAGAAAGCTCAAAGCAGCCGGAGGAGGAACCGGGTCCTGCAGGAGGAAAACCCAGAGGGGCAGGGCAGCCCCAGGCACCTTCACCCGCTGGGACATGCGCGGGGCAGGGCCCTTCCTGCTTGGGCTGAGGAGCTCTGAGAGCAGCTCCTGGGGCAGCCCCTTCGAACCCCTGCAGACCTGGTCCAGCTCTGGGGCAGCAGCACAAGAGGGACCTGGAGCTGATGGAGAGAGTGCAGAGGAGGGCACGGAGCTGCTGCGAGGGCTGGAGCAGCTCTGCCCTGGAGCCAGGCTGAGAGAGCTGGGCTGGGGCAGCCTGGAGAAGAGAAGGCTCCTGAAGGGGAGACCTGAGAGCAGCTCCAGTGCCTAAAGGGGCTGCAGGGAACCTGGAGAGGGGCTTGGGACAAGGGCCTGTAGGGCCAGGCCAAGGGGAATGGCTTGAACCTGCCCGAGGGGAGGCTGAGCTGAGCTCTTAGGCAGGAGCTCTTCCCTGTGAGGGTGCTGAGGCGCTGGCACAGGGTGCCCAGAGAAGCTGTGGCTGCCCCATCCCTGGCAGTGCTCAAGGCCAGGTTGGACACAGGGGCTTGGAGCAAGCTGCTCTATGGAAGGGGTCCCTGCCTGTGACCGGATGAGCTCCAGGCTCCCTGCATCCCAAGCCCGGGTGCTCCCCTGCTGACCCCCCATGCTCGCGGGGCCGGGCGAGGGCTGGGGCGCTGCGGGTTTCAGACCGGAAGCGGGGCCCGAAGAGCCCGAGCGGAAACAGCGGCGCCCGGAGAGCGGCTCCCACCGGCAGCAAAGGGAGCAGCAACTCCAGTGCCCTGCACTGCACCGGGTCATAGAGAGATAGAGCAATAGAGCACTGCACTGCACTGCACTGGGTCATAGAGAGATAGAGCAATAGAGCACTGCACTGCACCGGGTCATAGAGAGATAGAGCAATAGAGCACTGCACTGCACTGCACCGGGTCATAGAGAGATAGAGCAATAGAGCACTGCACTGCACTGCACCGGGTCATAGAGAGATAGAGCAATAGAGCACTGCACTGCACTGGGTCATAGAGAGATAGAGCAATAGAGCACTGCACTGCACTGGGTCATAGAGAGATAGAGCAATAGAGCACTGCACTGCACTGGGTCATAGAGAGATAGAGCAATAGAGCACTGCACTGCACTGGGTCATAGAGAGATAGAGCAATAGAGCACTGCACTGCACTGGGTCATAGAGTGATAGAGCACTGCACTGCACTGCACTGGGTCATAGAGCAATAGAGCACTGCACTGGGTCATAGAGCAAGAGAGCACTGCACTGCACCGGGTCATAGTGCAACAGAGCACAGACCTGCCCTGGGTCATAGAGCAATAGGGCACTGCATTACACTGGGTCATAGAGCAATAGAGCACTGCACTGGACCATAAGAGCACTGCACCGGGTCATAGTGCAACAGAGCACAGACCTGCCCTGGGTCATAGAGCAATAGAGCACTGCACTTGGTCATATACAATCCGTTCTGTAATAATCCCAATCCCATCAGCCATGCTCTCCAGGCTGCTCCCAAGTGCTGGCTCTGCTCCTGGACCTTCCCTTCCAGGGGACAGCAGCACAAGGGGACCCCAGCAATGCCTTCACCAGCACCGAGGGGCAGGGGCAGCAGCGCAGCGAGCAGGGGCCGGGCTCCCCCCGAGCGGCCCCACTGCCTCTGTGCCTGCTGCAGGACAGGCCCAGCAGGACCCGGCTGCACTGGGGGCTGCAGCAGCCGCAGGGACAG